CCCTAACTGGATGGCAGTGTGGCTTGTGGAAAGAGCACTGGGCCGAGAGTCAGGCAGACCAGGGTTCAGCCTCCCGGGTAGCACTTCTTTGCTGCTTGACCTTGGGCAGAATTCCTGGCATGCAATGGGTCCCCAAAGAACGTTCGTTGCCTTTGTTTTCTCTTCTACCTTATAGTGCATTGCAAGGATTAGCCTTAGACCACAGAAATGCCTGGCTTCACTTCACTTCTGCTGTTGTATGGAGAGGCAGGGAAACCCCACAGTTTAAGTGTATGTGTGGCCTTGATCAAGCCACCTAACTCTTCTGTGATTGGAAACAATGGTATCTGGACCTCCAAGGATTAGAGAAGGGCTATGCATAGAGTGCCATTTGCTTGTTTTTCCCTCCCCAAATGCCATGGACCCTTTTCACATTTTTATCCCCCAGGGCAGTGGACACAGAAGCCTACACTGTATTGGTTTGCCTTTGCCTTGGAGAGAAGTTAGCCAGTTGAAAATAATTGTTAGAGCTGGAGATCTTAATGCCAATAACAACAATATCGTAGCTAACATGTATGAAGTGCTTGGTCTGTACTTAGCACTGTGGTAGGTGTACAGTAAGCAGCCACTATTGAGCAGACCTAGGAGGTGCAGAGAGTTTAAGTAACTTGCCCATGGTCATAGCTGGTGGCGTAGGATTTGAACCTGGGCTGTCCCATTCTTAACTCCCAGGGGCTTGTGGTAAAAATGAATGTAGAGGCCTAGGGATTCTAGACATTCCAGACCACAGGGATGCACCTGGACCAGGTGAGTGATTTTCATGTGCACATGTGATTTTGGGGGCCTCTGGCAGAATTTCTTTGGGTGGATTTATATATTTTATTTTCACTCTGATGAGGAATCTCACAAATTCAAAAGAATCCTGCTCTGGCTGTTGATGAAGGAAGGAAGCAGGAAAGTAGGCTTTTACAGAGAAGTCATTCCTGGCCTGGCAGTGAGGCTGTAGCTGCAGGTTGGTTACGGGGGTTGAGAGTGAGTGAGATTCAAAGGTGGCTGAGCCAGGAGCCAGTGGACTTGAAATTGAATCCCTCCTGGAGCACTTCCCCTGGGACTGGCCTTAGAAGAAGATCTTTCCCTTCTGAGCCTCAGTGCTCTGGTGAATGGAGCCACCTTTCCTTCCTTGTTAAGGACCAAAGGATGAAATGTCAGTTGCTTAATGGCTTAGACCACACTTGAGGCTCAGCAGGAGGGTATGGGTTTGAGACTGGAGAATTCTTCCTGGCCCTGGTAGGAGTGCTGTGTTCTCCTCTTTGTCTCTTGAAGAAGATAAAGAGAGTGGTGGCTTTGAGTCTCTGCCTGCCTGTTTCCAGCTGCAGAGCGAGGAGGGCATGAGCTCATGTAGAAACCATGCACAGGGAAGGGAAGTGGCTGTCCCTGTCACATGCAGCCTGGCTGGGATGAGGACTCATGATATCTTGTGACTTCCCACTAGTGCTTCTCCCACTGTCGGCTATGAGCCTCTCCAACATGTTGAGTGCTCCAAACGCCGCCTGTGCTCCCTCCACCCTATGAGACCCCTTCTCTTAATCCTCATTCACGGCTAAGATGGCCACAGGTGCCTATCTGAGGTCAGGGTTGTCTCACTCAAGTGCGCTTTTCTCCTGTAGAGAGATGGCAGCCAGGGCGGGGTGGTGGGCTGAGACCTGCACAACGTCAGGTTGTTTCTCTACAGAGAATGAGCTTTTCTTCCTGCCACAAGAGAGGCATTGATAAAAATTATAATCATGGCCCCACAACAACAACAAAAACTTAAAAAATTAAAAGAGCATTGCAAGGTAAGACAGGGCAGTCTGTTGACATCCAAGAAAAGCAGTGGTGGAAAGATACCTTAGAAAACATCTAGGATCATTGTGCGTGTCATTAAGGGTAGGTGCTAAATTCTTGCTATTCAGATGCTGGTCAGGAACCAGCATCAGCTTCACCTGGGAGCTGTGAGAAATGCAGAGCCCAGGCCCCACCTCAGACCTGCTGAATCTGAGCCTGGCTTTTCACAATACCCAGGGGGTTCATGTGCACAGGGCAGCTTGAGGATTGCTGCACTAAAAATGGATCCTAGTGAGATGATGGAGATTTTTATTTTCATTGTACATTTATGACAACAAACAAACAAACAAACAAAAAAACAGCGAAGGCATTTATTTTGGGGGGTGAGGGGACCTTCTCAGGTTTCCAGTTGGCATTGCCCCAGGGCAAGTGGGATTGTTGGGTGCAGTACTTAGGAAAAGGAAGAAAGCAAGCCTGACTTCCCTATTCTGGTGTTAGAGAAGAGTAGAAACTAAACCTTTTGCTGAACAGAGAACAGGACTTACTGATAGACACAGGTGTCAGGAGAGATGTTCCAGGGCCTTGGGTGGGTGGGGTCTCCGTCTTGAGTGACACTTCAGGATGGCCTCTTGTCCGGTGGGAATGATGTGTAGGCTGTCCTTCCTCAAAACCTCTTCCCATAAAATAACAGTGGCAACATTTGGGAATCATCTGTCTTACTGTGTCCACAGAGTATCTGGTTTTATCTCCAGGCCTGTGTTTTATCTCTAACTTGGGCATTTGAGGGGTGCGGTCTTGAGTCAAGGTCACAGTTCCACCAGTTAGTATCCGAACTTGAACAAAAACTGATCCCATTATCATGATCCACAAGACACTTTGTGATTGGCCCCTGCCCGCCTGTATGGCCTTTACTTCCCTTTTTTGCTTTCGTTACAGCAGACTTCCTTCTGGGCCTGGAAAGCCTGAAGCCAAGTGTGTTCCTGCCTTCTGGGCTCTACTCTGGATGTTTGCTCTGCCTGGAACCCATACCTTTCCATGGCTGCTCCTCTGCTTGCTCAATGTCACCTGGGCAGAGAGGCCTCCATGACTGCCGTGGCTAACATGGCCCTCTAGCTTCCTCCCTGTCTCATCAGCCCATTTGGTTTTTCTTGGTAGGACTCTAACATCATCTCATATATGTCTTTACTTAGGTTCTATTTGTTCATTCCTAATAGAATTTTTGCTCCTTGAGAAGATGGCTCTTTTATAGCATTTAACTCCTGTGTCCACAGCCCTTAGAATATTGCCTGGCACACAGTTGAAGGTAAATACATACTGAATGAGCCAATGCACAGTGGTTTGTCCTCTCTGAGCTCCATTTTCCCCATCTGTGGTATGGGGATCTAATACCTGGCGCGCAGGGTGGTTGTGAAAATTATGACATAATGAATGCAGAGTGTTCAGTTGAGTGCCTGGTATACAGGAAGTGCTCAATAAGGTTACAGTTGTTATCCACCTGGTGGCCCTGGGATGACTCAGATGAATCGCTGACCACGTCTGAGGCGATGCCCTGCTGGTGCTCCCTGGTGAAGCCCGAGTGGAGCTGCCCAGGGAAGAAGCAGCTTGGTGGCAGCTCAGGACCTGCGATGGGGAGCATCTGCTCCTGGAACTCTGACTCTGAGCCTCCTTTGAAACAGCTGCATTCTGTGTGAGGTGTATCATAACAGGCGGCGTGTCTCTGTTGGTTGGAGTCACTGGGTCTCCTGTGGAGGGTCAGATGCAGCTCTGACTATGTCCTGCCTGGGACTTGAGGAGTCCTTGCCCAGACCTCTCTGAGTGAAAGTTCCATGTGTGCCATATGTAACAGTTGTGAAAGCTTTTGGCTGCAAGTAACAGCCCAATGTGTTTTGAACAAAAGGAGGTCTTCGTTGTGTTAGAGTTAGTAGATTTCTAAAAAAATGACATCAAGGCTGGTGTCTTTGTGATTCTCTTAGTTTTTCCTCCAGGATTGTTGTTTAATGGCAGCAAGATGCTACTGGGCCCCACCCAGTGTGTTTATGATTAGCATAAAGGATGGAAGAAGGAAGGAAGCCATTAGTATCTTTTCTTTTATCAGAAAGGCGTAATTTTCTCAACCCTCCCAGTGCACTTCTGCTTACATCTCATTAGTAGAACTTCTTAAGGTCAGTCTATGAGAGGCCTGGGAAGGAGTAATTAGGTATTGCAGTGACTTGGGAAAAGGGTGCTGGAGATGATGGTGAAATCCACTAACAAGCAGTGCCTGCATATACTTGGAAATATATATATATTATATTTCCAGGTATATGTATATGTATGTATTTAAATATATTTTTATTGATATCTGAGAGGAAGTGAGAGGGAGAGAAAGACAGAAACATCAATGTTGAGAGAGAATCATTGACCAGCTGCCTCCTGCACTCCCCTTATTTGGGATCGAGCCCGTAACCTGGGCATGTGCCCTTGATTGGAATCAAATCCTGGACCCTTCAGTCTGCAGGCTGATGCTCTATCCATGAACCAAACCAGGTAGGGCAGGAAACCTATATTTTAAATTAACCATTGGTTCTCAACTGGGGATAATTTTGCTCCCCAGAAGCCATCTAGAGGCATTTTTAAAAAAGTTATATATATATATTGCTTTTTACAGAGAGAGGAAGTGAGAGGTATACATTGATCAACTGCCTCCTGCACGTCCCCTACTGGGGACTGAGCCTGCAACCCAGGCATGTTCCCTGACTGGGAATCGAACCGGCAACTTTTTCGGGCAGGAGGATGACACTCAACCTACTGAACCACACCAACCAGGGCTAGTGACGTTTTTGTTGCCACAACTAGGGTGTGCACGTGTGTACGTGTATGTGCATGTGCACACTAATGTATTTAGTGGGTTGAGGCCAGGGATGCTGCTAGTCACCCTACAATTCATAGGGTAGCCTTCACCATCTGGTCCACATGTCAGCAGTGCCAAGGTTGAGAAACCCAGAGTTAGACTGTTCTAGACACATTCTTCAAATTTGGGGACCATAGTTTAGATGCTTTCCCGGTTGCAGGGACCAAGAAATGGTGAAATTTCATTGTGATAATATAGATTATTGGGGCCAGTCTAGATTTTATTAAAGAGAAGGTTGATCCTAGTTGGGGATAGCTATATACTATATGTCAGAAAGACATAACTAATTAATCTTGTTGTATTTCAGGATCACAGAACAATGACATGAAAAGACAATTTCTGCTAGAGCGACTGCTGGATGCTGTGAAACAGGTAAGAGGAAAGCTCATGTTTGACCTTGAGATCTAGTAATAGTGTTAGAGAATTAATGGGGAAATCATTTCTGCCCTTATATGTAGACAGACTTACTCTCATGTTGTATCTGGGAACAGTGAGGCCAGTAGTTCCCCGCCGCTTCCCCCTTCCCCCCCCCCCCCCCCCCCCCCGAAAATGAGAAAGCAGGGAAGGCAATCAGAGGTAGGGACAGAGAGGTTCCTCTCTACGCCCTCTGGGGACCCCGTCATTCAGGGGTGTCCCTTAGAGTTGATGTGGGTTTCAACTCCTCTGGGTACGTACCAGCCATGGTGATTGGGTTAGGACTTTGTGAGCATGAAACAGAGACAAGGAGGAATGAACCATGCTCCGGATTGATGGTGTGGAACCTTCAGGTGGGCTCTACTCTGGTTTGTTGATGCTGCTTTTAAAAAAATATATTTTGTTCATTCATTCATTCATTCATTCATTTATTTATTTAAAAAAATATTTTATTGATTTTTTACAGATAGGAAGGGAGAGAGATAGAGAGCTAGAAACGTCGGTGAGAGAGAAACATCGACTAGCTGCCTCTTGCACACCCCCTACCAGGGGATGTGCCCACATCCAAGGTTCATCGAACCTGGGACCCTTCAGTCCGCAGCCTGACACTCTACTACTGAGCCACACCAGCTTCTGCCTGTTGATGCTATTTTGATGCCTGGTTTTTGGCTGGGTGGGAAGTGAGCTTTGACATGAGCTGGCTTAAGTTTGCTTATCTGCATATACCACATTCATCATTTATTGCACATTCAACATGTGCGGGGACCTCTGCTAAGTGCTTTACATTTAATCCTTCCAACCACCCGTGAGGTAGTTCCTACAATTATTTCCATTTTATGGCTAAAGAAACTGAAGCTCAGAAAGGCCGAATAACTTGTTTAAGGTATCACAGTTAATAAGTAGCAAGCAGAGCTAGGATCCAGTCCTGGGAATTCTGGTAGCTCACATTTCAGAAGGGATGACTGACAATCATATGCATGTAATCACAGTTTAGGGCACATGTGTCAAACACAAGGCCCGCGGGCCAAATCCGTCCCGCCAGGCCTTGCAATGTGGCCCGCACCGCGCTGTCATCACTGCACTCTGCTGCGTTTCCATCACAGTTTATGACTGTTCAGTAAACCATTCGGCCCGCGATTTAGGCTGGATTTTAGATTTTGGCCCCTTCTCTGATTGAGTTCGACACCCCTAGTTTAGGGAGATAGGAGATAAATACTTTAATAAAGATGTGTGTTACGTGTTGATTGTGTTAGGTGAGCTTGGGAGACTTCACCATCTGCCCAAACTTCAAGGTGTCCTGTTACAGTGCAAACAACACAGGCCCAGGTGTAGCTGAGTCAAAGGCCCGTTTCATTTCTTCCCAGCTGTGTGTGCTTGGGCAATTCATCTAGCCTCTCTGGGCATCCTTTGCTGTAATCTGCTCACTTATCTCCACAGGGCTGTTGAGCAAATTGTGTTTATTAAAGTAGGTAAAGGCCTGGCCAGCTCTTGGTCCACTGTAAATTCAGAGCACACATATTTGTTTTTTCTTTCTTTACTCCAGAAATGGAAAATAGGACAAGAAGCTACTAGCCAGTTTGGCTCCATGGATAGAGCATCGGCCTTCGGACTGAAGGGTCCTGAGTTTGACTCTGGTCAAGGGCACATGCCTGGGTTTTGGGCTTGATCCCCAGTAGGGAGCATGCAGGAGGCAACCCATTAACGATTCTCTCTCATCATTGATGTTTCTATCTCTCTCTCTCCCCCTTTCTCTCTGAACTCAATAAAAATATATTAAAAAAAATAAAATATGACAAGAAGATGTGGAGGCAAGTGGAACCACTTTAAGTGTAGTTAAACAGAAATAAATTGGAGCTTATGCCCAGATCTGCCATGATTGGTATTATTATTTGGGGGTAGCGAAAGTGTTGTATATGTATGCCTTTTAAACATCAACTTTATTGAGATATAATTTTCATACAGTAAGATAAACCAATTTTGAGCGCAAAGTTCTATAAGTTTTGACAAATGTATCATTGAAAAAAATATATAATAAGTTCAGGAATCTTGTAAGCCTGCTACCCACTCTTTAAAAGAGTGGATAGTAGTGATGGGTGCACAATATTGGGAATTGAATTGTACAACTAGAAATGGTTAAACTGGTAATTTTATGTTTTCTATATTTTACTGTAATTAAAAATAAAAGGAGAATAGTTTGCTTTTGTTTGTACCCACCCTGAGAAAATTGTCACTCAGCACAATCAGACGACTTCTTTAGAGTGTAAATTTTTTCTTTTTTATTCTCACCCAAGGATATGTTTTTATTGATTTTAGAGAGAGGAAAAGAAAGAGTGGGGGTGGGGGAATAACACTGATGTGAGAGAGACACATTGATCAATTGCCTCCTGTACATGCCTCGACCTGGGATTGAACCTGAAACCTAAGCATATGCCCGGACCAGGAACACACAATTGTGAGCACACAATTTTTTGGTGTATAGCACAACGCTCCAACCAACTGAGCCACCTGGCTAGGGCTGAAGTGTGGTTTATACTGTCATAATTTCCTAGCCATTCATAACAACCTTGGGCCCTGTCAAAAGGGACCCATCATTGCAGATTTGTGGAAGTTTTAATTATTGCCTACTAAGAGCCCTGTGTTATGGACAGCCAGCTGCTGACACACAAAATTTCCTAGATAATGTGCAGAAGTTGTGTGCTTCTGTTTTCCTCTTAGCATTGTTTTCCCACAAGGTTCACTCTGTACAGTGGAAGGGAGATAAGGACTTCCTTTTAGTGGTGGCTGGAAGGCTGGGTGTCCACTGTCTTATGTCTTGGGCTGACACCCCAGAGTTTCTGGCCCTGTGTCTCCGGCTGACCCTGAGGCCTGTGTGGACTGTTTTATGACAGTTAAGGGCCCCATCCCAACAGCTGATCTCAGCGCCTTCTTTTTCTGTTCAGTGCCAGATCCGCTTCGGAGGGAGAAAGGAAATCGCCTCGGATTCCGATAGCAGGTAAATATGTTGTTTCTACAACCATTTTCCTTTAAGAGCATAAAGGTGGCTAGAGGTGACCAGCTTCTGTGTTCGCCTCCGCAGCCAGTGAGTGAGTAAGTCTGGGTGGCCTGTAGCCCATCTGGGCAGTGACTGCTCTGACGTACTCCCAGCTTCCCACAATTCTCCTTCTTGGAATCTACTGAGGGAATTACTTGAAATACCTGCTGCATAAAGTTACTTGCAGGGAAATTTATATTTTTGAAAACTTGGAAATTTAAATGCTTGACAGTTGGGAAATGGTTAATAAAGTATAGTGTATCAGTAGAGTAGAATATTATGTAGCCATTAAATTGATGTCTGTGCAGAATTTTTAAACAATGTATTTTTATTGATTTTAGAGAGAAAAGGAGAGGGAGAGATAGAAGCATCAAGAATGAGAGAGAATTATTTTTAAAAATATATATTTTACTGATTTTTTTATAGAAAGGAAGGGAGAGGGATAGAGTTAGAAACATCAGTGAGAAAAACATCGATCAGCTGCCTCCTGCACACCCCCTACTGGGGATGTGCCTGCAACCAAAGTACATGCCCTTGACTGGAATCAAACCTGGGACCTTTCAGTCTGCAGGCCGATGCTCTATCCACTGAGCCAAACCATTAGGGCAAGAGAGAGAATTCTTGATCAGCTGCCTCCTGCACACTGCCTACTGGGGATTGAGCCCACAACCCAAGCATGTGCCTTTGACAGGAATTTAACTTAGGACCTTTCAGTCTACAGGCTGATGCTCTATTCATTGAGCCAAACCAGCCATGGCTGTGCAGAATTTTTTTAAAAGCAGAAAATGTATAGTATTAATAGAATTAAAAATGATATATTTAGTAAAAATAATGTGAGCAGGATGCAAAATTATTATATATGGATACAAAGTGATCCTCGTTATGTTAAACAACTCTGGCAAAAAATGTACCAACATGTGAACAGAGGAAATATTGGAAACCTTTATATTTCCTGATATTTTTAATATTTTTTTTAAAAAGGAGAGTCATTTACTTATTTTTAAAATTTATTTGTTGATTTTAGAAAGAGGGAGAGAAATAGAAACATCCCTTTGTTGCATTTATTTATGCATTCATTGTTTGTTTCTTATATGTGCCCTGACTGGAGATAGAACCCACAACCTTAGAGTATTGGAACAATACTCCATTTGACAACTGATCTAACCGGCCAGGATCTGTTTTTCATATTTTATACTGTGATTGTATTTCTTTTATAATTTAAGTAAATTCCTGAAAGTTCCCATTGACCTTCATGATCCAGGAAAGGCTGACATAATCACATAAATTTATAACATTTGGAGGCGACACAAAGGTTAGGGCAGCGAGAAGAGACATTTCCAGCATTTGCTGGAAAGGCTGTGTGAAGTCAACAGCGCTAACTCATGCCCTGCAGCGTGGAGAGGCAGGAGGCACCATCCTGCAAAGGAAGCGAAGGGAAGGGAACGCCTTGCTCAGTGCTCATCTCATCCTGGAGGCTTTCCACACCCCGCACTCTCTTATCCCGACCCACCCAGCTCCCGCTTCTCTGTCCTCTCACACCCTTGTTCTCTGTGACACTGAGAGAGCATCCTAATAGAGCCGTGGGGACCATTTGAAACTGGTGCAGATTTAAGATGGTACCCTGTCCCTTATAAACCTGTCCCTCTTTGTTTACCCCCATAACACGATGTGCTTTTCTATTCCCGTACCGTAACGTGTGGGCATGATGTTATTATGCTGTCTTGTTCACCGATGTAGTCGCAGTTCCTAGAAACATCTAGAAAGTGCTCAGTGAAGATGCGTGGTCTGGTTGAGTGTGTACATTGCATAGCACCATAGTGAAGTGTTTAAATAACTGCCACCACAAGCTTTGAGGGAAAGAGGGCAGCCTCTCCCTTTTTTTTTTTTTTTTTTTACTTCTCAGCGTTTTGTACAAACATTTTATGCCTGTCATGCGTTAGGTTCACAGTGTACGTTTGTGGCATTTAAATCATTAGGTATGGCTTCAGTTCTCCCGGCGGGCTGTTAGTGTGCCCTCGCAGGCTGGCACGAGAGTGCATGGGCTCTCAAGGCCGTGCTTTGAATCCCGGCTCCTCCTCTCTTCAGCTGTGTCCCTTGCCTTAACCTCCCTGAGCCCAAGAATTATGTCTGCTGTGATACTGTGATTTATAAGAATGACAGACATTTGTTCTTTGTCCCCATTTCTGGTACTGAGGTCCTAAATCTCCTGGGATTTTCAAAGTGATGATTTCCATAAAGGTGTCTTATTGCTCACCATAGTGACTTTTGGAAAGCACTGAAGATTAGGGACTGGTTTCCAGGAGAACCATATGATTAGAGGGTTGGAACTTCAGTCCCACACCCCTCTGGGGGGAGGGGAGAGGGAGTGGAGATTGAGTTCAGTTGTCAGTGGCTAGTGATTCAATCATTCATGCCCGTATGGTGAAGCCTCCATGAAAACCCAAGGACTGGTGTCCGAGAGCTCTGGGTGGGGAACACTTGGGTGCGGGGAGAGGGGTCCTCTCTGAGAGAGCTGGTAGCTCCAGTCCAGGCCCTTCCCACTCACTTCACTCTGTGTGCTTCTTCCATATGGCTGCTCCTTTCCTAATAAACTGGTGATCTATTAGTAAGTAAGATGTTTCTTCAAGTTCCAAGAGGCCCTCTAGCAAATTAATCAAACCCAAAGACGGGCTCATAGGTACCTCTGAGGTACATAGCTGGTCGGTCAGAAGTACACATAATAACCTGGAGTTGCATCTGTCGCCTGAAATCAGGGGCTGGTACAGTCTTGTAGAACTGAGGCCTTAACCCGTGGGACCTGACACTGTCTCCGGGTAGATGTGTCAGAATTGAGTTGAATTGTAGGATACCCAGTGATGTTGGAGAATTGCTTGGTGATATGGGGAAAACCTAAACATTGATATCTACTTAACCAGTTGTGAGGATTAAGTTACATGCTGTGTGTAAAATGCCAGAGTCATATAGGAGTGTTACTTTTATTCCATACTAGAGGCCCATGCATGAAATTCATGCACAGTAGGGTTCCTAGGCATGGCTGGCGATCAGGGCTGACTGGGATCTTCCGGCTGTGGACCAGGGCCTTCTTTCATTTCGTGCCACCCTCTGGTGGTCAGTGCATGTTATAGCAGCGATCGAACTCTGGTCTCCCGGTCCAGGGGACACTTTGCATATTAGCCTTTTATATATATAGATAAGGAGGCCTTTGCCCCTCAGGGAGTGAAGTCTGGCTGGGATAAATGTTACTCAGCTTGTGACCCCTATCCATGCAGGTAGTAGACCGCAAATAGGTGTAAGGGCAAAAGTGAATTAGCAAGCTTTGTTACTGTTCTTCTTTGTTGGTAAAGGAACAATTGAAGATAGATTTCTTTCCATGTAACTCTGGGCAGAGTCCTCAGTCTTTAGAAAATGAAACTTGTCCACATGTTTCTTCCCACATTGTGTCCTCCAGGAATCTAAGTCAGTGTGTCCACTAAGAAGATAGAAATAACTGGAAGAGGTTTTCCATGAAAGGCCAAGTGTTATCTTCAAATGCATTTCATATTTACTGCCTTAGGAAGAGTTTTAGGCAGGATGTGAGGTGTTGGCTAGAGAGCACAGCTGGTTGGATGGACAGCAGTGGGAACCTTTGAAAGAATGTCTGCCAGGGCTCAGTGGTAAAAAGCAACAGAAGTCTGTTACTGTTATGGATATTGTGACCCTAGGAGTTGATGGCAGGCCAGGTTTGGGAACAGGAAGGAGTCAGGCAGCTGTGGAAGGCTAGAAGCTGGAAATAAGAGTCCAGAAATGGTCTCCTAGAAGGAATGGTGACCCAATTAAGGCCACCATTGCTGAAGTGAACACCAGCTATTTTCTGACTCTCTCCTCCTGCTCAAGGTTGGCATTCCAGGAAGGAAGCACCTGATTGCTCAATCTCACGTCACTTGGCCACCTCTTGGCCACTGGCAGAAGGATCCGGCTGAAGGAGTGTCTTGGGACCCCGATGGCTTGTGTAGTGCAAAGATGTCTACTTGGGTTAACCATCCCATCAAGATAATGTCCAGAGAAGAAGAAATTAATCTTCAAAATGACATCCGGGTGCTGTTAGGAAGGTGGATAAATGCAGGGTGGCCAACATAACCAGCTGTTGTCCCCTGTTGCTGCTCTAACGGAATGATAATCTTTCTGTGACAGCCTTGTCTGGTTTAAAAATGCTGGTGTCTGTGTCATCAGTCTCATTTGATCCTCAAAAGAACCCAAGGAGAACGAGAAGGGGGTTCGTTTTCGACTTTCACAGGCAGACAGGTTTGGAGGCTGGTCACTGGTGCAGCATTTATTTGCCATTTCCTGGGCACATGCCCTGTTCGGTGGGTCGCATGGTTGGTAGGTAATAGAATAGGACTTCATGTCCCAGTGTGGTCCTTGCTCACTGACACTATATCCCCTTTTGTTTTTCTAGCAGAGTTCCTAGCAAGTACTTAATATTATTTTAAGTGTTAAAAAAGTCACTGTATTAAATGCCTTTCAGTTGCCTAGTGGCTCAGTTACTAGTATTTTCCTTTAAATTCTCTTTGTCTTACTGATATTGGGGGAGAGACTTGGTTTGGTGTTGATAATATTAAATTGAATTAGATGAAATTTCCAGTATTTGATTGTTTTGACCTATAAAAATAACAGCATCATACAGTTCAGAATTATAATAATCTCTAACAGCCCTTTCTCTTCAAGAAGAGTGTGTGGGTTCCAGGCTCAGTCTCCCTTTAGGGCTCTCTGGAGCCCATCATGTGAGCTTTCTGTTTGCAGTAGCAGTAGAGTTTTCCTTGTAAAACAGGTTTATGTGAAAAAAGTGTGTGAAATTCAAGACAAGTAACTAATACATATTCTGTTTGTGACTGGAGTTTGGGAAGAGTGCTGGTAGGACTGAAGCTGATGTTTGGTTTTTGGTCCTACGTAGTGCACATTATTTAGCTGCTAAAACCAAAATGCCAAGTGTGAGAGTGCAGGCCCTTGTGAGAGAAAGATTTGTTTGATCTTGCAGATTACGGGGCAAGATGCAACTGCCCTCACCTGAGTGTGAAACAACATTTGCATGAAGGGTAATGACAGGCAGGCCTAGCTTTTTCCTATCAGATTTTGTCCTTAGAAACCTCAGAGGAAGTGGCAGCATGCTCTGGGCTCCATGATGCATGTTTCTCTTTGCCCTTCCCTTCTTTTCCCCCACCTCTCTCCTCTCCTTCTTCTTCCCCTCCCCTCCCCTCTCTCTCTTCCCCTCACTTTTACCTCCCCTTCCACTTTCCTTCCCCCTCCCCTTCCCTCCCCTCCCATTCCTCTCCTTCTCTTCCTCCTCCCCTTTCCCCTTTCTTTCTCCCTCCCTTTCCCCTCCCCATTCCCTTCCCTTTCTCTTCCCTCTTCCCATCCTTTTTTAAATACTGACTCTTCACAAGTTTGGTGTCATCCTTGTGCAGGGGCCATGCTAATCTTTTCCCTGTCGTTCCAATTTTAGTGTATGTGCTTCCGAAGCGAGCACTCTCTTCGTCCTTCTCTGTTGGCATTGTTTTCTGCTGTTTCCTCCTCAGAACAAAGGCCCATTCTTGTGCTTCATTAAAATTACTCACATTCTGTCAGTCAGCCTTGGCCTGTGGAGAGGCTGTACCATATCTCTTGATATAACGGCCCAAGAACTTAGCAGGCCCTGGGTTTCCTCAAAGATTAGGTACTTATAGTTTCACAGAAGCATCTTCCTCCCACGTGGAATTACAGAATGTGATCTGGAAGTTTTCTTTTGGAATTATAAATAGCAACCCAAACTACAGGGCAGAAGAATGAGCGTGGACTTTAGAATGTAGACTGAATCCTGGCATTGCTGACCTGGTTCGTGTTGGACTGTGGGCAAGTTTCTGGCCTTTTTGTGCCTCAGGGTCCTCATCCGTAAGCAGGGATAGTAATACTAACGTTTACTTCATATTGCTGCTCTGAGTTAGTTCACGTTGGAACAGGGCCTGGCAGCTAGTAAGTTCCAGCTATTGTTATAGTCATCAGAGTTTTATGTCTTGACACTTGGCAAATAAATATTCTCTGCACGCTGGGTCTCTTTGCCATTATGGTTTGGGGGATGCATTTCAGAACATTTAGAAATTGTAAGTTTTTGTGACCCTTTCATTTTACTGTCAGAATAAATCAGAGGAGAGCATTTTTCTCCTTTACAAGCCTGCCAGGGAAGAGGGATTGTTTTGGTGATTTTTCTGTACCTGTTGAGGAATTAGGAACATTTTTGAACTTTTTAGAAGGAAATCAGCTGCCCTTTGCTGTTCCCTGATGTCATTCTTAGCTCAGTGTATTTGTTGGGAAACTTATGAAACCAGATAGCTTTTCCAGGCATTCCTTTGCCTGTGATAAATGTCTCTGGATCTTCATCATGTGATTTTTATCTTCAGTTGCTACAACTTCCTTTTTTTTTTTTTTAATTCTTTAAAAAAAAAATATTTTATTGATTTTTTTTTTACAGAGAGGAAAGGAGAGGGATAGAGAGCTAGAAACGCCATTGAGAGAGAAACATTGACCAGCTGCCTCCTGCTCACCCCCTACTGGGGATGTGCCTGCAACCAAGGTACATACCCTTGACCAGAATCGAACCTGGGACTTTTCAATCTGCAGACCAGCACTCTATCCACTGAGCCAAACTGGTTTTGGCACTACAATTTTCTTACCAGCCTATTATTAGTGTGAGGTGTTGACTAGATCAGCGTTTTTCAACCGCTGTTCCGCGGCATGTGCCGTAGGTGCAGACAAGACAAGAATTTTATAATTTTTCACTATTTTGTTTACTTAATATTTCATAATAAAGTAATTATAAAATACTTTCTTTGTGTTTATTTGATTCCTATTCAAGAGAATTACTTTATATATAGTCAATATAGGCACAGAGTTAAATTTTTTAACATTTTCTAATGGTGGTGTGCCTCGTGATTTTTTTCATGAAACAAGTGTGCCTTTGCCCAAAAAAGGTTGAAAAACACTGGACTAGATGTTCTGATTCTTCTTTGCCTGGTGGAAAATTCTGAGGTTCATTGATTAGATTCTTTATTCTCCACCCTGAGTACTTTATTTCCACTTCGAGACTCTGTAGTAGATGATTCTATACTGCATTTTCTTTTATTTTACTATATTGATCAAACAAATTGATTTTCCTTTTTAGGAAAAAGAGTATTTTTAGCAATTAGGTAACTCTAGGGCAGTGGTCGGCAAACTCATTAGTCAACACAGCCAAATGTCAACAGTACAACGATTAAAATTTCTTTTTAGAGCCAAGTTTTTTAAACTTAAACTTCTTCTAACGCCGCTTCTTCAAAATAGACTTGCCTTGGCCATGGTATTTTGTGGAAGAGCCACACTCAAGGGGCCAAAGAGCTGCATGTGGCTCTCGAGCCGCAGTTTGCTGACCATGGCTCTAGGGCATTTAGCAAGTCTGAGCACATTTCCAGTCCTGAATTTTAATTAATATTTATATTGTTTATATTGATAGTTGTTGAGAGCAGTGCTTGGCCCATTGAAAACAATATTTAAGCGCTGTCAGCACCACCCTGATAGTGGAGAGAGGCTGTGAGCATGAAGTATGAGCTTTGTTATCAGACAGACTTGTCTATTGCCCACATGGCCACAAACCACCGTTACCAGCTGTGTAATTTGGGACTTACTTCTCTAGACCTCTGTTGTACCATTGGAAAATCAGATGATGATCATGTTGCCTACTTCCTGGGGTTGTAGTGAGAATTAGATGTAATAATGTTTACTTGGCACACCCAGTAAGAACTTAATACTCAATATGTTTTCTCTCTGTGTCTAGACATAACCAGTGTTTTGGCTGATTTGGAAACCGAAGGCTAGAATGATTGCTCATGAGCTCCTCCATTCAACAGATAATTACTTATAGATCATTATGTTGGCATTGGGGATGCAAACTGGATGAGATGTTTGCTGTCTTCAAGGAACTCAAAATTGAGTCAGGGAAATAGACATGTAAATTGTGGGCAGTCCTGGTGGCCTGTAGTAATAATTCCACAGTCCAGATGTGAGAGGTGTGAATGGGGTCCTGAGTGGTCACATGGGCAGAACGGGCATTCCAGGCAGCAGGAATAGCAAATGCAGAGATGAGCAAGAAATCGGCGGGATCATAGGTGATGTGCCCTGTATGTTGAGGGATTGGCTGGAAAGTCATTATTAGATTCCTGTCATGGGAAAGTTTTGAACTTCATTCATTAGGGTATTCTTTATTTAAAAAAAATTCTTGAGGATATGTTTTATTGATTTTTTTTTCTTAGGGAGGAAGGGAGGGGAATGAGAGAGAGAGAGAGAGAGAGAGAGAGAGGGAAAGGGAGAGAGAAACATTAATTGATTGCTTCACAGGGATCAAACCCATTACCTAGGTATGTGCCCTGACCAGAATCAAACTCCCAGTTTCTCAGTCTGACCAACTGAGTCACCCAGCCAGGGCAGAGTACTATTTCTTTAATTATGGTTATTTGTATACTGTTTTCACAATTTTTTTTGCCATATCTGTATACTATCTCAGATTGGCTTGAGGTGGAATTTCAAGGATTTGTTTACTCTGGTCTTGCCATAATACCATCAGTAACTTCAAAGATTGATGGCTGGTTACAGTTTTATCTTTACACATTGAAATGATTAACACAAAATTTATTTATCTCTGTTCCCCCTAAAATCATGTCATGCACTGTATACACATAGCAAAGTGTGGTGTGGGTAAGTAAGAAACAAAGACAGATAAGGCCATGACTTTACATTTCAGGAGGCTAGCTTCTGTTGAGGAAGCCAGGGGGTTGAGCGGGGTGGGATGGGTCTAGGAGAGCAGCGAGAGGTGGCTGTGCAGTGGAAGTGGTTGTATTGGGGGAAGACACAGGACTGAGAAGCCTTAGGACTGAGCCTTGATAAGACTGAGTGGTGCTGGATGTGGCCAGAAATCAGGACAAGTGTCTGTTGTTTTGAACTTTTTTTTTTTTAAGCAAGATTTTGGTGTGGAGTTTTTTTCTCCTAGGCTATGGACTCCAGTCAAGCTTGGAGATATTGGCCAATAACTTAGTGTCACTTTTATGTGTCCTCATTTCCCATTTATTCACTCCTGCATCTACGACTCTTGCTTTTCTCTATGCTCTTTCCTCTTTGATTTACCAGTAGAACATTTATTTGATTTTTTTTTACATGCCTGTTGGCCGTCCTCTAACCTTTATACTTACAGTATCTTGAAAACTACTGCCTTGCGAATTTTCACTATTATCAAATTTATTTTTCTGTCTACTTTTTTTTTTTTTGGTCTTTTTATTCACTACCATATGTTCTTCTTCCTTCCTTTGGATAACTGAAGTTAATGATGAGGAATAGTTTTATTCCCCCCACCCCCCATGTTCTTATAGTCTCTTAAAAATAAAATATACATGTCTATACATACACAAATTTTATTGACCGTGTTTTATAAAACCTGAATTATGTATATAAATGTTCTGCATCTGTATTATTTCCCTTACCATTACCCTGTCCAAATCTTTCCAAGTTACAGTTCTAATAATTATTTTTAAAAGGCTGCATTATATTATACAATGCACATGTACGAACAGTTGCCTATGAAGTAATACTTTGTGTCCAATTTTTACTACTATAGACATTCTTGAGCATCTTTTCTTATATTTTGATTATTTTATTTCTTTAGCTTACATTTCCAGGTTGTTGGGTTGCTTTGTCAAAGAAAATATGTGTTTATTTTTATTAGTTGTGGTCAGGTATTTTTCTAAAAATTTCTACCAGCAGTGCAGGAGACTACCCTTTTTCTTTCTTGCTAAGGATAGTGTGGATGAAAGAAGACACATGCTAACCTGACAAGCTCAGGGGAGGCCTGTGTGGCAGTCTTGCAAACTCAGAGACCTAAAATAACCACAAAAGATGGTTTGAAAATTAAATATTTAACTACAAACAGGTTATAGTGGGTAGTCATGTACTAGGCCGATATTTTCCCAAAGATCAATTTAGATCTTTACTGAGCCCTTTTGCCTTTTAGCCTCTAAGATAACATATCTGTGAAATGTCTGGTTAACTTGTAACTTCCCTTTTTCTGGAGCCCCTGGGGCACAACTTAATGTGGTGGGTTCCAGGACAGATGCCTCAAATTCCTTTTTTATCATGTTAATTGTTCCTATACCCACCTAAGTATGTGTCATTTTACTTTTTATCCAATACCAGGGGTTTTTCACAGCTTTGCTTTCCTGCCTCCTTAATCCATCACCAATGAATTTCATGTAACCCACCTGTGTCCCTCCTTTGATTGCAATGTATATTGTATACATACAAATGTAACCCGCCATTCTTCGGAGCATTATCTCAATTCATTGAGGTTCTGCTTCCCGGCATATGTCCACAGTTTGGCTCAAATGAACTCACAAAATTCTTTACAGGCTTCAATGTTTTGTTTTTTTCCCCATTAACAATAGTTTTGAGTATTAGCTTGATGGGTAAAAAGTG